CCCCTACTTCTTCTTCGGCGAGAAGTGAGGGCGTGGAGAAATGTCTCCCGCACAATCACTCTGGCACACAGCGCAATCCAGTGCACCCAGTTAATCCTCCTCATGCTCAAGGGCAGCATCTGCATGGTAGCGCCTCAGGCCACATGCCAGACCACCTGGGTAGATGTTAAAAAGCCACCGATTTTGCCGCGACCTGAACAGACTAGTGGGACTCGCCTGCCACATGGGGACGCCCTGCATGTGAGACCCACAGAGCGGGAGAAGGGGCTACCTTGTGAAGGAAAGCTGCAAGGCCTAGAAAGTAGTATAAGGGCCTTAATAATTGGAATGGGGTTTTGGGGCCCATTATGCTGTAATTACAGAGGCCTAGATCCAACACTCCAAAGTCGCAAACCTCGATGCTCCTCAAACTTGATGCGCCTACAGACCCTGGATGTTTTTTTATTGTTGTTCTGGTGATTCTGAGAGACGTCCGAAATCAATGAGGCTAGGGTAAGGACAGCTCTGAGCACTCACTTTGTAGGAGTCCCTGGGCCGCCAGCTTGTCCCGAACGGAGCTAATGTGGGAACCTGATTACAAAACCTGGCCCTATACCCCCAGTATATTAGGGTTCGTAATAAGAACTCTAATAAAGGCCCAGGGTTCCTGAATCAGGTTCCTACATTAGGGTTTAGGGTTTCGGAACCTTTCGCGGTTTTCCCGCTTCTCTTGCACACCTCGCTCCCGATCCCGCTTTGCTCTTGGCTTACAGAGGGGTGGAACAAGACGCAGGCAGATTCTCCGACGCAGGTTCACACCCTGATTTTGCAGATGGCGCGCAGCTCGCGGGGCGCTGAGTCAGAACGATCTGTGCAGTGCTGTGGGTCGTGGCAACGACTACCTGGACGGACGGGATTTGTAAGACTCATGCAGCTTGTAGAGATGGGTTTCCGTGAAGTCTGCAGGTCCTTCGTCGCTGTGGTCGTTGGTTGCCTGAGCGCATGGGCCGTGTGCCAGTGCTTTGTGAGCTCGCCCGTCGCGAATCGCGAGGTCAATGTGGCTGCAGCTGCGGCGGTGAAGTACGAAACGGACATGCCTGCTGAGAACGGCGTCTACCCCGTGGGCAACGCCAAGCGGACGGCGCCCTACGGCGAGCGCGACCCCCTGCCGGAGGGTTACGGCATCCGCACTGGCCTGTCGGACTTGCTGAAGCCCCTGAACGCGGAGGCAGGCGTTGTTGCGAAGGAGGACAGCATCCCGACCGTCTTGGCAACTCGCTTCGCAATCACGATCCCCTGCGTTTGAAGTTCTGTTTCAGTTGCCTGTGTAATTGTGCACGGCGGGTAAGACGTTGCTTTCCGCACAGTTTGGAA